TTATTTTGTTAAATAAGCTGGGAACTCACCTATAGGTCACTATAGGTGATATAACATTAACCCTAACCCAAAATACAAACCTGATTTTAATACAGATGAACGATATATTTTTAACTGACAAATGAGGCCATGTCGTGTCATATGTGGTGTCGTAGTGTGGATGATCGTATGTTGTAGATTGAGTGTGCGAATGAGGGTGGGTGTGGGTGGGTGTGTGTGGGTGGGTGGGTGGGTGTGTGTGCGCCATGATATTGTAATGAGACCATTGTGCCTGCATCTCTCATACACAGATAAAGATCTGTGTGGGGTTCTTTTCATTCAGCTGGTGCACTGAAACAGACCATTTCCCGCAGTATGCGGGGTAGTTTCAACACTCACACAAACACGCACACACACTGTACACACACTCTCCTGTGTCGAGTATTTTACTGTACATACATGCATGCATAGTTCACATTGTTTGTGAAACAGAGAACCGCAACCGCTTCAGATGTGGGGAGCTGTATTTCCTGTTGATAGTGTTTTACTCAGTGAAACACAAACAGCAGACGAATCTCTCGTTATTATTATCATCTGTTTATTTTATGGATTATATGGAGCAGAGATTACATACAAACTCAATATCAAGGGCTTAAAGACCCAAAGTTTAGAGCCACAATATATGTGCTTTTTGTTTTCATTCCATAAGCTGATTGAAATCTGTCCCTTTAAAAGATAAGCCTGCTTTTTATTGTCAACAAATCCCATGAAAAAAACTAAACCAACAGTGTACTGACCCTATTACCAACTATTGACTGTGTTTCAAGCCAAAGCCTTAGTCAAACCTACTGTACATTCACTATTGTGCTGCTACAAATCCTTACCTCAGTGTCTCACATGTGGCTGAAAATAGTAACATCTGCTAAAAACAACCATCTGTTTTAGGATATTGTTTAGCCTTTTTTAAATTCTGAAACTATATATCCCTGATTAGAGATCAGTATGGCTGGGGGCCATTCATTTCCAGATGGGGTTTTTTAGGGCCAGACATGCAGCTGACGCCACATCCACATTGATCTGATGTGTTTCTGTGACAATGTTCTGAACATGTTAAACTCTGTGACCTCAGGATTGACCAACACAACAACAGGCAGTGCTGCTCAATATTGTGCATCTCCAAGACTCCACTACTTTGATTTTACTGCCATAGTTACTTTGCACATTCAAATGTAAAAATCTAGAATTAGAATATAAAATATGAATAGTTTTTAGATACATTTACCTAGCCAACATTAAATAAAATAGTTAAAACAATAAGCTCTGTATTTCTCTCTCATTGTGGTTTCACTGATATGATTAGATTTTATCTGGTGGAAGCGGAGGAACCAGTGAGTGGGAACAGTTCAGGAAGTGGACAATTGTATCAGCCTGTGACATCAGCACTGAATCCCACCTGGTTTTCCAACTAAGCATTGTTCAATAAACAGCAGTCATTGGTTTTTCAGGGATATTTTATTGCATTTCAGGAAAATGTTTTTTTGTTGAAACAAATTAGTTGACAGAAGGCCTATAACAATACAGTGAGTTTTTTTTTAAATATATGTTACAAGTAAATATCTCATACTCAATATCAATGCTGGTGCCAGTTTAAAACGTCCAACATTTAAAAAGAAACACTCTACGTATCTGACCAAAAATAGCCAAACCACACATTATCTCTGACCACAATAGGATTAAAATAATAGTTTGATATTTTTGGAAATATGCTACCTCGCTTTCTTGCCAGAGTTAAACGAGAAGAATGATACCTTTCTATATTCGTACCGTAAATATGAAGCTACAGCCGGCTGGTTAGCTCAGCTTAGCGCAAAGACTGGAAACAGCGAGCCCGGCCCTTTCTGAAGGTTACAGAACTCACGTACCAGCTTAATGTGTTTTATCTTGTTTCTTTGGTCCGTACAAAAAGTAAAATGGGGTTATGGGCTGGACTGTTTCTTGTGGTAGTGGTAGTGCAAATTCCAGGATTTTCCCAAAATTTTAATTTGTGCACAATCACGTCACAGACCTGAAACTTTTGGTTTTCCATTCCTGAATAAATGCACCTGTAGAAATGTTTTATTTATTATGGAGTATGGTAGACAGACATGATGGGAGCAGTACCCCAGACCCCAGTCGGCTGAAAAGCTTCTAGACTTCGTGCACACACTACATGAGTTTCAGTGTGTACATTCATAAACAGAAGAGCAGATCAGTGCCTGGCTCCTCAGAGTTGCTCTCATCATATTCTTGTCTTTGACTGTATTCACAGTGAAGACGAGATATGTTTTCATCTTCTCGTGGCTGACTGACATTTTATTATTTTATATTTTGATTTTGGATGTCATATTTCAATGTTTGAATTCAATTTTGTTTTCAGATAAGCAGGTGTGACAGAATGCAGTTTAAGCCACAGAAAACAAACCATAGTTCTTGCAGTGTGAATACAGCTGTTATCTTCTAATGGTGAGAGCATTTGTTCTTCCAGTGCTTCAGCTTTGAAGGTTTCTCCACTTTTCCTCCATTAACTATCTGCTTCACCATCTTCACCACCTGGTCAAATGAAACACAAAATTATTTGTTGCGCTGTATAGGACTGTTTACTTGTTTGTGGACCTATTTTTAGTCATTTAATGTCTGTCAGTCAGTCAACCACTTTGGTCCAAACTGAAATATCTCAACAACTGAAGGATGGATGGCCATGAAATTTGTTACACACATTCTTGTTCCCCTCAGCATCAATTATAATAACTTTGGTGATCCTTTGAATTTTCATCTGGCGCCATCATCAGGTCAGAGTTTTCATTTGCTTGAAAACTTTCATTTATGTGAAATCAACAGATCTTTACAGGGAATTCAGTGGTGACACAGTAGTGATACCAAAACAGAAACCAAATTATTTGTAATGTTTCAGTATGTGGGTGTGTAACAGAAACCACAATCACTTGACTCACTGCTGTGAACAACGCAGTCAAGTATAACATGTCTTACGGAAAGTATCGACTGACTGCTTCAAGCATATTACTATGATGCTAACCGTAAGTGATGATTAGAACAGTTATTCATCACTCAAGGAAAATTACATTAGCTGGTTTTGTTGTTGAGTTGCACTAAAATATAGAACAGTTCAAAAATGTGTTTTCATTTAGTCATTTATATGCCATACTGTCTATAAGATGATATTAATAGTATCTTTCTCATGAACACACTAACCTCTTCAGGAACAGGAAACGTTCCTGTCTCAAGCTTGGAGAAGATCAGCTGATCATTTACTGACACCTCAAAGCTGTCTGTGGGGGTGAGAAATGAAACAACATACAACCAAATCAATTCAATTTGTCTGCAATTGCATTAGAACCAGTGAAACAGGTTTCTCTGACAGAATGTGCACAATACTCATCCTTTTATATTAATTCCATCTGTATATTTTGTGAAACTAAATATCCTGCACTACTTCCCTGTATGTAGTATTTGGTTGAAATGTAGGCTGATACCACAGACACATAACACACAAACAGATAAAAACATAGTGATGCTAAAAATAATCCAAACCTATAAACCTATATTTAGTACCTCTCACAATATCTGTAACAGTGTGTTTGTTTACAGGTAAAGCTCTGACTGCCAGTTATTTTATAATTATTTTAACATTGTGCATTTAAGCCTTAGTTTTAGTATGTTTATTGTTCCTTTTATACTTGATTAAAATGGTTTAGTGTTTTGAATTGAAGTGGTGATGATACTGATAGTGGTATGGTTTGTGGTGTTTAATTTGAATGGTGGTTTTTGGTTTACATTTATCACAAGTAGATTTTAGTAGTAGAATTTAAGATTAGTTTTAGTAATTATTTTAATAGTTTTAGTGAATGCTTTAATAAATGGCCTCTTTGTTGAAGCCCCTATGTTGCAACTCACTGTTACACAAAGAAACAGGGTTGGAAACTTAAGTTCAGCTCCATCGCTGTGGTCTTTAAAAAGTTTGACTTAATAACTCATATTCTGCTGGAATTTTTATCAGTTTGTATCTCTTTCTTTCTCTCTTTCCGTGGAAGCAATGGGCCTCCACAGGCAGAGGACTGTATGAGGAAGGAAAGAGCAGCTTACTTGGCCTCCCTTTGACTCCCGTCACCTGCACACCGGGAACCTGCCGGAGCTCACCGGCCAGCTCCTGGTAGCGGAACGCATAACTTCATCCTTTACTGTAACACAAAGCAACACCAAGAAAAACACATGAATACACCTGCTGGTAGGCTCACTGAACGCTGGCTTCAAGTTCTGCTTTTTGTGGGGCGAGGGTGTGACAGTTTCCATGCACAGAGTGTTTCTCCTTTCTAGCGAACATGAGTGATATGAACCAGTTTATCTGATTTTACATTTAGCCCTGAGAATCCCTCTCCACGCTATTAATCAGTCTGAATTGCAGTCTACAAGATTAATCAGCAGAAAGTGAAAAACTTACCAGTATTCAATGGTGACTGCATTAGCCATGGTTCTGATGTGTGTAAGCTTGCTGTTGCAGTGCTGTAAACGTAATGCAGAGTCATGATTAGACAACCTTATTTTAAAATAAACCACACCCAGTGGGAGGGTAGCCCAGACTGCCCACTGTTTACTATAATTACACTTTCTTTCTGTCACATGTCACAGTTACTGGTGGCTGTAATCACTCCTCCTATCCATACTGGGACTGAGAGATTCCTAATGTTCCCCACAGGTTCTATGAGGCTTCAGCAGTGTTAGATAGTAAAATAAAATGGATCGGGGGGATTCACACATCTGGTGACTGTTCATCTGCCGCAACTCAGCAAGGAAACAATGTCCAGTGACACACAGAGAGGGGATTTGAATAACTTTGACTAACTCTGCTGAAGCCTCACATTATCTTTAGCTCAACTGGACAGGTATTGTATAAAGGCACACTTGTGTAAAAAAATGTGTGCCAAATGTGAACCTATCATTTAAGGTTAAGAGAGAAAAGTGTTTGTACAAATGCAAAATGTATGTATGTATAACATTTATATCAAGTCTACAAAAGGAGTGTTATTGCATAGCAGAGGAAAAAGCTCAGGATGAACTCCTATTCTTGTTCACCCCCCAAATAAAACCAGAAAAGTGTGAGGGGATTTATCCTCCATTACATTCCCCCAGTTGACATTGCAGTCAGACTTTCTGTGACATTTCTCCTTTCAGAGCCAAGAGATAACCAGCAGTGTCCCTCGCTCAGCAGCACACTATCACACAGGTGCACAGTCTATCAGTTCGGTCAGAGGCAGCTGAACAGAGGTTATTGTGTGTGGATTCAAATACCAGCAGCTGCTGTCCAACTGGGGAATCTGAGGCCTCCGGTCAGACACCAGAGCCACTGTCTCCTTCTGCAGGCAGGCGTTCAAGAATTTACCTTCTATCTGCGTTCACTGCTCCACGGCACCACTGATGATGGCCTCAACACGACGGCAACATTTAGAATTCAAATATATTTAACAGCAATAATGAAAAAGTTTGCATGCATGAAAATATAAATTGTTTTGTATATAAAATCATTAATTTCCCCAAGACTAAGGTGATGTATTTAAATTGTTTTATCTGACCAATAGTGCAAATCAAAAATATGTTTAATTTACTATTGTAGGCTACAAATAAAAAAATCAAATAGTCACATTTGGGAATTGTTTGAAGTTTAGTGATTTACGGTGAAGTAGGAGACACAGTTTTTACCAAACTGAATGCCATAACTGTGGATATGTTTTTCACAACCCACTATTTAAAAGTTGCAGACAAAAATAAATACTCATTTTTAATCTGAAGAGAAACATTCTTTTAAGACTTGAGTGATGTTGCTAAAGCTTTTTTACATTTTATTTGTTTAAAATGATATCCAGTACAAAATGTATACAGTAATACCCTTACGTTTGTCAGTTCCCCTGAATAAAATATTTTAATCTGTTCAGCTCATGCCGGATAACAGTATCTATAAGATACACTAGATTGTAATTTGCTCATACAATAGTTGATGACAAAGATATAGCAATAGTACCTTTGTAACAATAAAAGCTATCAGCAATATTTTGGTGGACACACTTTCAATACAATAAAATTACATACATTGTTCTGTAAAAGTTGCATTGCAATCTGCCCATATTTTACAAGATTTTCAAATCCATGTTTCTTTTCATTAGCTATGAGACAAAAAAAAGTGGTGATACAAGTCTTTATACATGTATAAAAATGATGTGGTGGCAAACTGCAGTGTAGCAGTGAGTGAGTGTCAGCAGGCTGTCCTCTCTGAAGCTGCTGTAACAGATGTACAATGCACTTAGATTTGTTCTTTTTTTCTTTTTGTTAAAACAAGGCAACTTCTCAAACTTCATAATAAATAATAAACCCTCTGCAATGATAATGTACCTGTCAATATATCCAGTTCATTCATTCATATATATATATGTATATAAACTTGTACAAAATATGTTTTAAACCTTTTTTCCCCCCCACATTTATGTACTTAAAAAACCCCAAAAGGTTAAGATGGTTGAATTGTGTTTGACAAAGCATTTTGGTGGGACCAACACAAACATAACACAGTCTGCATGCACTGGTTTCCACGGAAACACAGGTGTGATTCTTCCAGTTGATTGGGTGCGCCTCTCTGCTCCTTGGCTTTGACTAAAATCGTTCAGAACAGTGTCGCCTCGTGGTCGTTCACTCCCTCTCTTGTGGTTCAAACCGATCACAGCATTAGCCTCATTGACTGGCGGGACTCTTTGACGCCGCCCCCTGGGTTGGGAGGGTCTTCTTGTGGGAACGTCACCTTGTCTGGTGTGTAGTCATTCCGCTTTAGATCTAACAAACAAGTAACAAGGAAAAACAAATCAAGAGATTAGAATTTATTATCTTATATTTGTGTTTCTGAATTAGTTTTAGTACGAGCTGTCTCTCTGTGTTAACCCTAATTCGGTAACTGATATTCCTCACCGGGAAGTTTGAGTTTCCGACAGCAGGAGTTGCAGTGGTGTTTTGCTCGGAAGTTCCTAATGGCATCATCCCCCAGGTTAGCAGGTCCAAATATCATATCATAAGATCTGCAAGAGTGAGGGCGGTCATTTAGTGCTACATTTCTAGTAAAAGTAGCTGGTGATGTTTAAATTTTAGTCAATATTGTAAGGCTACTACTAAAGAATATCAATCATTAATCTGACAATTATTTTCACAATTTTCTACAATATATTATGTAAGAAAATAGTAAGAAGTCCTAGGTGCCTCTGTAAAATTTAATTTCTTTGGGTTTTAGTCACTCACGGAAAATAAACGTCACAAATGAGAGGCTGGAATTGGGAAATGAAATTATTTCTGTGATTAATCAATTATCATTAAATTAAGTTAACCAACTAATACATTAATTGTTTCAGCTTTACAATACTGAGCCAAAAGAAGTAATTAATTCAAGAGGTGAATGACTTACCCCTTCTCACCACTCTTGATAACTGATGGATCTGTCAGAATCTCCCCAACACCTACAGCGACACACAAGAACAAGATTCATTATCATGACATTAATAATAAAAAAGTGCACAGACTGGCACATGTTTAAAGAGGCTGCCACCCAGGAGAATCAATCTGGAGGAATATACATCATCAGTAACATCATTCATCAGCAAATGTGTTGACGATCAGAAAGGCAGTAAAATCATTCCCAGAAAGCCTGGATGAATGGAGAGGTGAGGGATTTGTCCAGAGACAAAAAAGCTGTGTAAAGGCAGTGCCAAAGATAAATTTCCATTTTATGCAAATTTAACGGACAATAAAGTAATCTGAATCCAAAGTATCCATAGCAGATGTAAGAAAAATCCTGCTGAGAGTAAATATGACTAAAGCTGCTGGGTCTGATAACATCCCTGGCCGTGTACTTAAAATGTGCCAATCGGCTTTTTAATGTATTTTTTTCGTTAATTTACCACTTTAATCTTGGAAATGTACTGCTGTCGTATTCAATCATATCATAAATAAAAGGAAGAGTTCATAAGAGAAAAATAGAACACACCTCTTTCATACAAACACGCGCAACCTCAGATTAGGTTGACTAACTCAACTAACTTAATCTTAATTACCGTCAAAGTGTCGGCAAACAGAGTTCTTAAACACAGACTTTCCTTGATAACCCCCTCCAAGTTAAATCTGAGCAGGTTCAACTCCCTTTGTAATACAGCCCTCAGGTGAACAGATTACGGTCCTGGGAATCAACATCTCACAACTCTGGTTAAGAAAGTACAGAAAGGACTGTATTTCTTCAGGAAACTTAAGAAGGCAAAGTTCTTGTTAACTTTTACAAAAGAGGAAAAGCATCCTGACTGGAAACATTACAAACTGGCATGGGATGTACACTGTCCAGTACAGTAGGACTCTGCAGAGCCCAAAGGACACTAAAAGACAGCACCCACCCAGCCACAGCCTGTTCACCCTGCGGCCACCTGGGATGAGGTAAAGAAGCTTCTGCTGTCAGCTTTTTCCCTCAGGCTGCGAGACTGTTACATTCCTTCTCAGCACTACATCATACAAATTTGTATTTTTTTATGACTTTTAATAAGATGCATAAAGGGAACTATATCTGAATGTTATTATACATGCCTGGGTTGTAAATTACAATAACAATAGCCTTGAAATTGACATCGATATACAGTAACTCTGTTAAGTGCACAGGAAGTCAATGGAGAATCATTAACACATTTGTCATAGTAATGATGATGAACAACATTTTTTTTACCCTGCAGGTCGAGCACCAGCAGCTCTCCACGGGTGTACTCGTAGGTCCAGTGGCTGAAGGCCAGCATGGTTTCCTCCAGGAGGTTAGTGGGGACAATCTCATCTCCGTTGTTGTTGTTGAACTTCCTGAACTCTCCTGTAATGCACTCTTCTATAGCAAACCACTGTCCAGCAGAATGACAGTAAAGCAGAAACACCTCCAGAAACCTGAACACACAGAGGACTCAGGTTACTGGACACATTGGAAAATAAAATCCCCCCAATATTTCCTCCCAAAAGTCACTGCATTACATCTTAAGTGACTCTGTCACACCATTAGGAAAAAGAAAGTATGAATTATTAATTTTAGAACATAATTATCAAATTCTTTGATCAGATAATCTCATATGTTTACAAATGTTTTGAACCTTTAAAAGGAACAGTTCAGCTTAGCTTAGCACAAAGAACAATGGCACTGCAGTGAGGGGTGTGTTTATCCAGTGTAGGAAGGGCTCATGTTGACATGTAAAACAAATAACAGAACAGCCTACTACAGATGACTTAGCAAAAGCTGATCTGGCCCTGCCAACCACAATGAGCTAGGCAGAATTTGTTACACAGCATCTATGATCACACACAGAAGTGCATATGAAGATATGAAAATAAAGCAGTCTAACGTATGTGTGAGTATGATTTCTGTGTCTGTGCTCTGCTAACACTGTGCTTGCACGTGTGCTTACCTCGGTGAATAAGGAATAGTCTTGGGCCTGATTTGGTTGAAGGCAAATGTCAGCTTCTGAGCAGCTCGTTGTTGTTGAATTTCCTGGAATGACA